GGGGAATTCTGGGAGTTGAAGTCCACACGTCTTCAAGTTGCCAAGGTTGAGAAACACTGCTCTAGGCGTTTTTGGAGGGAGCTTCTCCCCCAGAATTTGGAAAGACCTCTGAGGTCAAGGGTCAAGTTCAGCAGGAATCTCCCCCCCCCCCATGTTTGAATGCCACAACTTTGTCATGGGAATAAGGCTGCTGGGTATCTAGAAGTTCATGTCAAGTGTCCCCTCACCACCCCAACTGATCCCTTCCGGTGCTCATTTAGACCACCTTGTCTTCTGCCCATTAGATCAGGCATCACCCCTTGCCAAGCCTTCCTCGAGAACACCCCCCTTCGGTAATCTCATGGAACAGCTCTGCAACGTCTCCATTTGAGCAGGGGAGCGACAGGAATCACAGCAGCTGAGTTGCTTGCAGGCCGCCCAGGACCAGGTAAGTAGACCATGATCTAGAACAATTGTTTCTAGATCAACCCTGAGATTTGTGGATTTTTATCCACCAATGCTTTGCAACTGGGGATTTCTGGGGGCAGTCACGGGCACAGTGGGTCCTGTGGTGCAGACCTCTAACTTATTTTGCCAGGAGAAAAGGCCAAAAATGAGATGTCTCCTGACCATTACACTGCTGGAGCCATCTCTACCATGCTGGTATCTTCCTGAGTGGTACACTTTGTCCCCTCCTAGGGTCGTATCTGAACTGCGCCGGTTGGTTTGTGGAATCCAACCCACAGGGTGGGCTTCTAATTCTGTGAGATCCCACCAACGGTATCTACTCTGCCATTCCACATTGTCAAGTGAAGGAAACGTTGCTTTACTTCCAATTCTGACGCTTCACCCAACTTGCCTGCCAACAGAAGAAAATCAGCAGAACAAATCCAAGCACTTTCTGGAGGATGTTTTTAGGAATGTTTTCATACATTATGTCTTTTCCTGGATGAACTACCTTAATTTTACTATTCTGCCTGGATCTTCCCAAGCACTGCTGCTACAGGAATCATTTTTTCCCTCTTTTGGGAAAAGAGGACCTACTGGCCAGTGACTGCATCATCACGACTAATGCATCATAGGGAGATTGTTGATTTTTTCATGACTTTTCTAACTTATTTCTCTCTAGGAAGCTGAGCACTTCTTCTCCAGCAGGAGACATATCTACTTTTTGTTTTCAAAACCCTAGAACTGGAGCAGAACCAGGACTTCTAGAATTAAACCAAGTCACTAGCCTTTTGTATCTCGATACTGTCTATCAGCAGGATGGTTCCTTGGTTGAACAGATAAGATGGTGAAGCCGTCCACTAAGAGGCGCTCACGTCTTAGTGAAAAAAAACGGAAATAGCCCGGTGGCTTTAGGTCAAACTTGCAAAAATATGTGTTGGGGTCTCTTTGGGGATTTTTAAAGTTTTTTTCTTTCTTACAGATGTGGATGAAAAGTATACCATAAATTCATCCCCCTCAAAAAAGGGGGGGGCTGATGTTGAACCCTAAATTTCAGAAGCAACACCAAGAAGTGTTGAAAATTTAAGATAAAGATGCACTTGCTTTTTTAGGAGAAGAAATGGGTGTGGCCAAGACCAAACTTTGCTGCATTGATTCCATACGGTTAACGTTCCCTCCAGGAACGTTATCATATTCTCTTTCTGTGACTTTCAAAGTTACATCATGGCAGAAAGTTATGGAAGTAGTGGGGGGGGGGCGTGCCATACAGCCTTCGAAGGCTCAGTTCTGCACCCTCTTTCTCCATCCCATCCGTGAGCAGGCAGCCCTCTTCTCACTAGTCATCAAGAAAAGCACAGTGGGTTTTGGGGAGGGGGCACAATCGGGGTTTGTAAAACAGAGCCCTGAACGACAGCCCCACCAGCTCAAATGGGGCAAATCCCCGCCCTTCCAGGAATACTCCCGAGCTACTCTTCCTGACGTTCTCCCCACCATCACCACCACCACACACACACACTTCTTGCCTGCTTAGCGAGTATATTGATCCGTCTGTCCTGGGCGGAGGTGGCTCTTGGCTCCAGATGCTTTGCTGAGATCAGCTCCTATTCCGGGAACGTGGAGAGCTGCAATCAATGCAATGGGGTGGACTGGAATGCAGAAGACATGAGAAGACCACGGGGGTCCTGGGGAGGAAGACAGGAGTCTCCACAGGGGTTTGGCACACAGACCAACCGGGGAAACTACAGTCCCCAAGCCCCTTTTCAGGAGTGGCCTCTACTGGGAGGCCAGGGGCAGATTGATTGAACTTCCCAGGCGACCGG